TTTGGCCATTTTCTGGGGGTCGCGAAGCCGCATTGGCTGGCCACGCCCCCTCCAAAATGGCGGCCGACCCCCTGCGCCACTGGCATTCCCCCGCGTGAAGCCATCCGCCTGTCCCTCATCTCCTTCTGATGGCAGAAGGAGGCGAGGGACGGGCGAGCGGCTCCGCGGGCGGCTAGGCCACACGCGAAGCCATCTGCCTGTCCCTTGCTTCCTTCTGATGGCAGAAGGAGGTGAGGGATGGGTGAGTGGCTCCTTGGGCGCCCCTCGCCTGCTCTGCTCTCCCGCCGGCCGGTGGGGGGGCGGAGCAGGCGAGGGCCTTTGGAGCAAGGCCTTCTCCAGGTGCCCTTGCCTGCTCCGCTCTCCCTGGGTGGCGGCGGGGGGGGCGGAGCAGGCGAGGGCCTTTGGAGCAAGGCCTTCTCCAGGCGCCCTCGGCTGCTCCGCTCTCCCGCCAGCCAGCGGGGGGGCGGAGCAGGCGAGGGCCTTTGGAGTAAGGCCTTCTCCAAGATCGGAAGAGCACACTTGCCTGCTCCGCTCTCCCGACGGGGGGGGGGGGCGGAGCAGGCGAGGGCCTTGGGAGCAAGGCCTTCTCCAGGCGCCCTCGGCTGCTCCGCTCTCCCGCCGGCCGGCAGGGGTGCGGAGCAAGCGAGGGCTCTTCGTTGCAGGTGAACTATAAATCCCAGCAACTGCATATCCAAATGTCAAGGTCTATTTTCAACAAACTCCACCAGTGTTCACATTGGGGCATATTGAGTATCTGTGCCAAGTGTGGACCAGATCCATCATTGTGTGAGTCTGCAATGCTCTCTGGATGCAGGTGAACTACATCTCCCAAACTCAAGGTCAGTGCTCACCAGACCATTCCAGTATTTTTCGTTGGTTGTGGGAGTTCTGTGTGCCAAGTTTGGTCCAATTCCATCATTGGTGGAGTTCAAAATGCTCTTTAATTGTAGGTGAACTATAAATCCCAGCAACGACAACTTCCAAATGACATAATCAATTTTCCCTCCAACCCCACCAGTATTCAAATTTGGGTGTATTGGATAACGTAAGGTAAAAGTTTTCCCCTGACATTAAGTCCAGTTGTGTCCAACTCTGGGAGTTGGTGCTCAATTTCTAGGCCAAAGAGCCGGTGTTGTTCATAGACACCTCCAGGGTCATGTAGCTGACATGACGGCATGGAGTGCTGTTTTTGGGTATTTGTGCCAAATTTGGTCCAGTGAATGAAAATACATCCTGCATTTCAGATTTTTTACATTGTGATTCATAACAGTAACACAATTATAATTAGGAAGTAGCAATAATAATAATTTTATGGTTGGGGGTCACCACAACGTGAGGCACTGTATTAAGGGGTCGCGGCATTACGAAGGTTGAGAACCACTGGTGTAGAGTAAGGAAGGAGAAAGAGTACAAATGGGAGAATTTTTCTGAGTAAGCTCTCAAAGCTGAGCAGCAGAAATGACAGGATAGCTCCCTACATCCACACAAATATGCCATGAACAGAAAGAGATGGGGATTTGTATTATATAAGTTGACATGGCATATGGTAACATGCTTCTTAACCATTATTTGAGTAAGAAGACATGCATGTTATCAACATTTAACCAGTGAAACAGCATATATATCATGGCTATGAATATGCTATAAATAGTGCCACCTCTCATCCACACAGTCATAACTTTTTTAAAGTTAGTGTTTTGCATGTGGGCAGAGGATGTAGAAATTGTTGGGTTGCTGCTCAAAATTACTTGCTCTACTACAAATGCTATAGAAAGAAAAGTTTAGTTTGACTTCCTATATCTTCAGGAGATGCATTTCACTGAAAACTTTTAAAAGATGTTTTCACTTCACCAGCACTCAGTTCTTTGTTGTTGAATTCATAATGCATTTAACAGAATATTTCTAGTGTTTATTTTGGGCTCAGGTTTCAACTGATGTCATTCTATGCAACTGCACAAAAAGCACTGATATATAGCACTCTGGCAGTTCTCAGACTTTATTTACATCATTTCATTATGGAAATACAGTCTTACATATATTCATATTGCAGATTCAGGACTTCAGATTTAGTGACTTAGTCCAGATATCCTATTAAGCCATGCCAACACAAGCAGAAATTATACTTAGTGTTGCAAATGCAAGTCATAGTTTGGAGGATTACACCAATTTTAGAGTCCAGTAGACCATCAAGGCATGATGAAAACACTCATGAATTTGAGTGCTAAGAAGACAAAAAACAAAAGATAAGCAACTATAATCCAAATTATGGAGTTTATAACTTAATGTGGATACAGTCGAGGCAAACCATAGTTTTGCATGGTATGTAAACCTAGCTAGTGGCTTGTCTGAGACCACCTTGAAAAGTGGATAGTTGAGGTGGTCAGGAACACTAAGCCACGGTACCACATCAATTATAGTCTATAGTGGTTGGCCCCTTCCTTAAAATACTATGTCTCTTATTAATTTATTTCACAACTTCAATAAATTTATATTGAGAGGTGGAACCCTATACCTAGGAACTCTTCTGTATTGAGACAGGATAAATGGCTTACATGTATCACTATCAAAGACAATAACACAATGGAAACTGACACAGCACTTCCACTGGAAACCAAGAACAGTTTAGCATTCAGTAGAATTGTATCATCCTTATAATGTAAGTTGCAGAACACCAATTATAGAAACTGTGGTGTGGTTGCTGGAAAGTTTCTAAGTAATGGGGAATAGATGGTTATTTCTTTTCTCTCCTTAGGGACTACACTACCACAGAATTTATATAGAGGTATCAGTAGCATAATTCCACTTTCGTACCAAAATCCCACTCTGATCAATTGCCCCACACATGGGGCATGGGAGCTTTTCCAAACAAATAGATGCTTGGTGTACAAACTAGTATGGAATTGTTTCTTGGCAGGACATACCTCTCTGAATATCTGAAATCAGATCTTATTTGACTTTCTAGAGTGAAAATATATAGTTTGAGCAGAGGGTGTAGCATGGATATCAGAGTACTAAATTATGAGAGTGTCACCTGGATTCAAATTTGTGATCTTTGTTATTATTGGCAGAATGATCTCTCAACCCTTCAACTGGAACAGGGGAAGAAATACAGACCTAGCTTACAAGGTTACTTCTCAGAGCAGAATTAACACAAAAGGCCAGGCAGAGTTTTACAGCAATGATGGAAGAAAATTACACCAATGATAGAAGAAAATGGCAACACAAAATTAGTCTCCAAAGTAATGTATCCATAGATGAGGATGAACATCTTTCTCATGTTTCCCTCTCATTTCTCTGCAATCCCTTTTGAATTCTGGAAAACACTTTAAGAGGCCTTCAGAGCCTTCTTAAGAAATATTCCAATTGGGAAGAAGGATCAGTTCCAAGAGGTATCCCAAATATAATGTTCTCTCATCAAATGGCACTTCTTTCATACATGCTTTAGTAAACAAATTTACAAAATGTGTTTGTGAGTTAGAGCTCTTTCCCACCCATAGTAATCCATCTCACGTGAAAGCAGGAATTGTTGAAGTATATCCATGTTTGTATGCTTGGCTTGCAAATGGAAAGAAAATTGATAGGATGTTAACATCTAACTCATTTCAAAAATTGGTCCAGATTCTCATGGGCCTGGACTGACCTCAAACAGATTGCGATTTTTGGAAAAGGTGTGTTTACATTTCTGTGCAGCCTACTTTTGAACCCACCTGCGCCTCTATATTCTCTATTCTTCTGGTACACAAATAGTAGAATGCTTACTATACACTTTTCTATTCTGTATAACCCAGTTGTGATATTTATATTACTTGACATTAAACAAAGAAATATATTCTAGCCTTTTACAAAGCTTCTGTTTCAAAGTGCCTTCACAGCCTCATGAATATAAAAAAACGAAGTAGAGTGGGATGAGAAACCTGCTAACAAATGTTATCTTCCACGTAACAGTTAAAGGTAGTGAGAAGCCAAATATAGAATCACAGAATTGGAAAAGACCACATGGGCCATCTAGTCTAACCCCCTGCTATGCAGGAAAAGAACAATCAAAGTACCCCTAACAAATGGCCATCCAGCCTCTATTTAAAAGTTTCCACAACACCCCGAGGCAGAGAGTTCCACTGTTGAACACGTTGTATGGTCAGAAGTTCTTCCTAATGTTCAAGTGGAATCTGCTTTCCTGTAATTTGAACCCATCGGTCCTAGTCCTAGTTTCAAGGGAAGCAGAAAACAAGTCTGCTCCCTCTTCCCTGTGATACTCTTTTCCATATTTATACATGGTTATCATGTCTCCTCTAAACCTTCTCTTCTGCAGGCTAAGCACAGCCAGTTTTTAAGATGCACCTCATAGGGCATGGTTTCCAGACCCTATATTTATTTATATAATATTATATAATATTTATATATTGAAAGCAGGCATCCAAACACAGTTTTAAGGTACACAGGATTTCTTTAGCAGTTCAGACTTTTGAGAATAAAGGGTGTTTCTTCAATGTTTACATTAAAGACAGCAAGAGTCTCCTATTTGTTAAACTGCTTCACTATGTGACATGCAGGAGGTAACCCTTATAAAGCTGGAAAGATAATGGTCAAGTTGTTCACATGTAATTCTTTAAAAGAATGTACAGAAACACAAATATATGCTATGCCAGAGGTCCCCTGTCTAAGAAACACAGGTCAGTCAGAACAAACTAATGTTTGAAAGGAATTCTCCCATTCCAAACCTTTCACCCAAGTGACCTGAATGATTTTTCATATCTCCAGTGGTTTTGGGACTTCTGAGTTGTGCTCCAATTGTGGAAAAACATGAGAACCGTGTGAGATAAGATTAGCAAGGTCATTCTCAGACAGAAAGTTTGCATCCCACTGTGACAAAAACACACAGTGCATCACATCAGTCCATCCTCCAGGAACCAAGACCTAGAATTGTCACCTGGGGATCACAGTCTCAAACACAACATGTGACAAATAAACGAAAGCAAACCCAAAACATCCAAAGCAAGTACCTGTGTGAGTCCTCTGGTGCGCTTTTAAGTGTGAGCTCTTTGTATAAACCTTTCGGCATCCATTAAATTGGCATCGATGAACCCTCTTCTTGTTTTCTGGGGATGCATCGGCCCCTGCCCCTCCTTGCTCACTGTCACTGAGCACACATTTTGTGGTGTTATTTGGTGCCACTATGCCAACCTTTACAGGGCTGAGGGCAGATCTCTTTGCCACCAGTTTCAGGGTGACTGTGCCATCAGTTACAGCAGAGACAGTTTGTGAGGTTTTTACCAGGTGACGACTGAGCTCTGGCGAGGAAGGAGGCGTCAATGAGGTCACAGCGTTGAGTTGGGCCTGGTTGACAGCAGTATGGCCCTCCGTGGAGGATCTGGTTGGCTGCAAGCTGAGGCAAGTCTCAGACAATAGCTTGTCCCGGGAGAGAATAACGTCTATGTTGGCATTTTTGTCACAAGTACTCATGTCTACCGGTAACAACAGGGGGTCCAATCGTGGGATACCGTCTTCTGTACCCGGAGCTGAGGGAGAATGGAGAAAACACTCCAAGTCATCACCAAAGCTTTCTGAGATCATCCTGGGCTCTGTCTGAAGATAGCGTTCCAACTCAAGGCATGTCTGCAGAGACAGAAGGAGGAAGAAGCCATCATTAGATGGTTAAATACAACAAGATCCCCTGCCAAAAATCTAACGAGTGAATATGTCAGAAATCCTACTGGAGGAATAATGAAGTCAAGCCAAAATAATCATAAGGAAAGAAATGCAGTGAGGCATTATCCCTATCATAAAACCGGGGCATTGTGACATTATCCACACAACAAAAAGTATGAGTGTCATTTTCTATTCTGTATCCTGGGATTTCTATATATTGAAATACCTGAATTGTAGAGAAGGAAGAAGGGGAACGCACACGCAAAAGAAAGGGCTCTTTCCAGTTGCTTAGCAACCAAAGGAGAAATCACATATCAACCCCCAAATGTTAGCAAAGTGCTCCACAATCAGTTCGGAGGCAAGCCCCCAATGCAAAACAACAGCATTTTTTATTAGCTGCCTTGGATGATTTCAGCAGACATACAAGACTACAAATATGTTAAACAAACAAATAAATAAACATATTCTTTCCAGCCTTCCTTTTGCAGACCAGTACAGCATCCATCTGGAAACTGAAGCATGACTGCAGAAGTCAAGAATTGTATTTCTTAGGCCTGTAGGGAAAGCCATTTACAGTCAGGCTGAGACAGAAGTCAAGACAAAACTCTGACCCATAACTGTATGGCACTCAGCTTTTAAAATAGAAGACACAGCGCCAAAAAAAAGTCCAGACACATTTAAGATGGAGTAAAGATGGTCTATTTAATCCTTTCCTCTCATGATTTTCCTATCCAAAATGGCTTTCCCCATAAGACATTTCTAGGCTCAGGGATGGGTGTGGGCTTCTACATCACTTGAAAAACCCAAAAGACTTTTGCTGGGACTGAGATACTGCTAGCCAAATCACACAGAATCATAGAGCTGGAAGAGACCTTGTGGGCCATCCAGTCCAACCTCCTGCCAAGAAGCAGGAAAATCACATTCAAAGCACCCCTGACTGAAGCATGACTGCAGAAGTAAAGAGTCAGCAGAACTGCCAGGTTTGGCTAGTTAGACTGTATTCACATTTAGTTCATCTAAAAGATGCCTGGGCATCAGTGCTTAAAGCCGGAGCCCCCAGTGGCACAATGGGTTAAACCCTTGTGCCAGGAGGACTACTTGACTGAAAGTTCAGTGGTTTGAATCCAGGGAGTGGGGTGAGCTCCCATCTGTCAGCTCCAGCTTCCCATGCGGGGACATGAGAGAAGCATCCCACAAGGATAGTAAAACATCCCGGCATCCCCTGGCCAATATAGTTGCAGACAGCCAATTCTCTCACACCAGAAGCGACTTGCAGTTTCTCAAGTCATTCCTGACACGGGTAAAAAAGTGCTTAAAGCTGTCTGAATTCCATTTTAGAAAAACGTTATACTTTATGGGGTTGTGAAATGAATTCCTGGCCAGAGAAAGATGTGAAATGCAAGGCCAGCTAAGCAGGCAGGCTCTTTAAAGCCTCATAGCCCATCCATTTACACTAGTCAGCTTTTTAGCTATTTTAGAAACTGGAACCAATGCAGATTGCTAAGGGAATGCAGCAAGACGACCAGGTTTGTTATCACCAAAATAGCCAAAGGATACCTAAGAAGCAGACTCACGAATCCTCTTCCTCATAATGAAACATTCACCTTCTTTTTATGTAGCCCACAGAGTAGAAAACATGAGGCTTACTCCAAAAATATATAGCACATGATCTATATGTTATAAATAAAAAAGAGACAGATGCAGAGAAAGAGCTAGTGCCAGTCACATGCAATCTCCATTGCCTGAACATTAAAATGCTGTGTTCAGCCTTCTAACTTCCTGCAGAGCGGACAAGGGGGAGTTGTCCCTTTAAGGCACTACTCCTCTTATGATGGTCATAGTTGTCCTGACAGTCTTTCAGCCCTGTCATTAATTTCCCATAAAGCAGAGTTTCTCCGTAAGCCCCTTTTGGGCAAGGCCTGATGCTTCAGAAACCTGTAATTATTCTTGGATCCCACCCCCTGCGGTCCTTGCACCTGTGTCAGTCAAGATACCAGCTGGTCAAGCCTTGCCTTCTGCCTCTGAAATACAAAACCACCTCATCAAATCTCCCCCATCAGCCCTTAAAAAACAAAAATGGGAAGTGTCAGTGTGGTGGGGAGGGAATGCCCGAAATATTGACAAAAAGCAATATGGGGAAAAGGTTCGGTCTTCCAAAACAACTACAAAAAAGCTCAGTTTGACAAGGCTTCAATCTAAACAGCAGGGGTGAGTGACACAGCGGTTGAACGCTACATGTGGCTCTCAAATCACCTCCGATGGCTGAGGGCAACTGTCAGAATTCAGATGATAGTCGTTCATTCGGTTTTTAAAAGGTTATATATCTTCGGAAAACAGTGCAGCAACCAGAATGCTAATCAGCTTGCACCATTTTGAGTGCCATAGTTTCAAAGTCGGTGCTGTCTTGGATCTTTCCAAATTTGAGAAAAATTAACAGAACTGGCAGTGATCCAGCACCCACCTACGACTGAGTATGCCCCATGGGACAAAGCAAGAATCAATTGTGAGTTGGCGCTGTTAGAACATTAGAGATGAAGCACCATGTGTCTGTGGTTTCTTCAAAGCCATACATCAAATATATGCAGCCAAACATGCAAATTCCTTCTATGCGGATTTCCCCAACACTGCCCTTTGTGCCCTTTCCTTTGCCTGTGTCTTTAGGGAAGTGCGAAGGATAAAACATTTGCAAAACAAACCATCAGAGAATTACAATACTATTGTCCTCCTCTGAACCCAAATTCATGCCCCGCCTGCTGTTTCCTATGCAACAGGTTGATGCTTTTTCATGCATTATGGGTAGACTTCCTTCACATGCCAGTTTGCTTCTCTGGAAAAGACAGCATGATAAATACCTTACATAACTTTTCTTCCTCTCACTTTGGCATCACCAGTGAAAAAAGGATCTGGCTGCTGAGACTGTGTTATACGTGGAACAAATGCACTGGAACCCTCCTCCTTATAAACCACTAGAAGGAAACACTGACTAATGGCCCACTCTTCCTAAATAATATACTTGGAAACTTGTTTATCCATTGCACTCCTGGTTTTAAGTTGAAATCTTGAGAAACCAAATCAGACTTATTTTTAAAGAGGGGCTTCTGTATTATGAGCTTTGTATTTGAGTGCCTCACATTATTAAAAATGGCCTAATTCCTAATGGAGTTTTAGGGTGTGCCTACACTGTAGAATTAATGCAGTTTAACATCACTTCACGGGGCTGTGGTGGCGCAGCGGGTTAAACTGCTAAGCTGAAGAACTTGCTGATCTGAAGATCAGTGATTCAAATCCACAGACGGGGTGAGCTCCCATTGTTAGCCCCAGCTTCTGCCAGCCTAGCAGTTCGAAAACATGCAAGATGTAAAATTTTAGGAGGCAACAAAAAAGTGGGGCCACGGTGGCATAGCGGGTTAAACTGCTAAGCTACAGAACTTGCTGACCAAAAGGTCAGCTGTCCAAATCTGCAGGACGGATGAGCTTCCATTGTTAGCCCCAGCTTCTGCCAGCCTAGCAGTTCAAAAACATGCAAAAAAGAGTAGATCAAGAAGTACCACTTTGTTGGGAAGATAACAGTGCTCCATGCAGTCATGCCAGTCATATGACCTAGGTGGCGTCTATGGACAACGCCGGCTCTTCGGCTTAGAAATGGAGATGAGCACCACCCCTTAGCGTTGGACATGACTAGCCTTAATGTCAAGGGAAAACCTAGCACCACTTTAACTGCTATGGCTCAGTGCTCTGGAGTTCTGGCATTTGTAGTTTGGTGAGGCATCAACACTTTTGATAGAGAAGGCCACATAATACTACAACTACTATGATTCCAAATAATTGAGCAATGGCAATTAAATTGGTGTTACACAGCATTAATGCTACAGACTAGATGCACCCTTAATCTAGATCAGGGGTCCTCAAACTAAGGCCCGGGGGCCGGATGCGGCCCTCCAAGATCACTTACCCGGCCCTTGCTCAGGGTCAACCTAAGTCTGAAATTACTTGAAAGCACACAAGAACAACAACAATCCTATTTCATCAGCCAAAAGTAGGCCCACACTTCCCCTCCCAAAAAAGTTTATATTTTAAAATTGTTTTTCATTTTAATTATTGTATTGTTTTAAGTGTTTTTTGCACTACAAATAAGATATGTGCAGTGAAAAAACATTCATGTTTTTTTTCCAAATTATAATCTGGCCCTTCAACAGTTTGAGGGACTATGACCTGGCCCTCTGTTTAAAAGGTTTGAGGACCCCTGATCTAGATGATATCAGTTCTTTACATCACTACCAAGTAGAAGAGTAAACGAACCAAAGCAACCTAGCAAAATACCAGTTTCACATAAGAGTATGGCTCAGCATAAGCTAAGGAAGACTCAGACTGTACTATCATGACTAATACCAAGCAAAAGACAACTAAAGATAAATGCTACGAGACAATAGCTACAAGATAAAGGGAAACTGATACATACTATTAATTGCCAGAGTTACTGCCTGAAGTGGTGGACAGAGTCTGAGGAGGAATTTGGCCCCTTCAAATGGAATGAGAAATAGACACCTGAATTTCCAAGTTTAGGAACAACAAATGGAAAGCTTAGATCTGTATTTCTGGAATGTGCATTATAACAGTCACACAATTTACACTTTGCTGGGGTTTGTATCTGAGCGCCTTAAAAGGAAAGAGGAGAAGGAGTGACAGAATCCCAAATTTGGAAGAAAGGTCACAGGATATAAAAACGCAAGCCTCTGCCAATTTAGAAAATTCACTACTAGGTGCAGCTATTATTGTATGTACTCATGTTTAAGTCTAGAAACTGCAGCTGGGGGAGTTCCTGGGCCCTTTCCCATAAAGTTGCATAGGCATATTTTGTGTACAGATCTTCAACCAGGTGTCAAACCTTTTATATATCAACACCTTTTAAGTGTACTTCAATGGATGAATCATGCTATTACAAGAAAAAGATGGTGTCTGCAACAATA